CGGGCGGGTGAGGCGGCAGCGCAGGCGGCCATGCCGACACCGCAACCAACAGGATGAGTTGGTACGGCGGCCAATGCTGCTCAACATAACGTCGACAGATTTGTACCGGCACATCTCTCCACCCATTCGGAGCACCCACTGGCCCCTCTGCAGCACACGGTCCAGGTGGGCTGGCGACGTACCTGCGACAGACGGTGTAGGAGCTGTTGACAGCCGTGACGCGGAACGGCTCCATCCTCTTGAGGGTGGCGTTGGTCAGCTGACCCAGCCCCAGGCGCTGCCAGTCCCTGCCGACGGCGCCGACGACACGCCGTCACAGACCAGCGGCCGGGCCCGGAGAATGGATGTCACACCACCGCACAGGACGGGACGGGACGGGACGGGACGGGACGGGACGGGACGGGACGGGACGGGACGGGACGGGACGGGACGGGACGGGACGGAACGGAACGGAACGGAACGGGACGGGAACGGAACGGGACGGGGGGACGGAACGGAACGGGACGGGGGGACGGGAACGGAACGGCACGGGCACGGGCACGGGCACGGGCACGGGCACGGGCACGGGCACGGGACGGGACGGGATGGGATAAGCACGGTACTGACAAGGGACAGGTACGGGACAGACACAGCACGCCACAGTCAAAGGCAGCAGGCAGCCGACTCGAGTCCACCTGATGAGCTGCCAGATCCAGCATTGGCGCTGTCGAAAGGAATCACGAACTCCCCACTCATGGACAACTGAAACCAGGCGCTACTAACACCAGTGCAGCCACATCACACGGTCGCCACGTAGTTGGCCGCCCGCGTTGCCGTCCCGCGCTCACTGACCGGTAGTAGCTGCGTTCAGTCAGCCGCTCCATGGAGACGGACTCGACGGGCGTGGTCTGCAGGTGGGAGGAGCTGCCCTGGCTGGCCACCTCCGCCTCGTCCACCACTGGCCGACAGAGGCGGCGCCGCGTGTCATGCACACACCCCAGCTCCGGACACCGGCGGCGCCTCCAGCCACACCGCGGTCACCAGGCGCAGACCGGATAACAATGGCAGCCGCTGGCAATACGCGGTCAGTACAAGCGGTGCCGACGATCCGCGACATCGATGGTGGCTGTTAGGGCATCGATCTTAGCGCAAAACAAAAGCGGTATACAGCGCAGGCCATCAAGTCGAAACATATCGCGCGCTTCAACGTTGTTGGGTATGACGGTGTGACGCCGAGCCTACACTGCAGACACGTGCGGTCTGGCTGCAACATCGTCCTTTAAAAGGATGTGTGAGATGCAAGACCCAGGGAAGAAGTACATCACTACAGCTGCTCGTAAGTAGTGTTTGCTGCCCTCGTCAAACATCGTCCTTTAAAAGGATGTGTGAGATGCAAGACCCGGGGAAGAACTACATCACTAAAGCTGCTCGTAAGTAGTGTTTACTTAGTTTTAAAGGCGTCGTACAATTATCATTGATAATCTATGCACAGTTTGTTCAGAAAGGGTCACTCCTGATTGCAAGGCTGCGGCGGATATGAGAAAGGACAATGACATCAACAGCATTTAGCCAAGTAAAAAACTACGTTTTTACCACGGATACTGTCGACAACAGCATAATGGAACAAAGCGTCATGTGTTCAACCCTATCCCTGCTACATGTAACGTAATACCTAAACTCGCTGATGTAAAACAAAAGACTGGTTTCATTCGGTCAGCGTTTTAGGCCAATGCAAACCTTCGGCGAAGATGCACACAAAATAACATCACATGACTGACACATACCAAGTAAAGAAAGCAATCGAGCGCGATGTAATGCCGGCTACCATCCTACTACTCGCAAAAAGGCCACTATCTACACGTACCTTCAGTCTCCTCCGCCTCCGCGGCGGCTAGGGACAGCATGCGGTCACAAGATCCCATTACACAATGCACGAAGATGCACAGCGCTTCGAAAGCAGCAGCAAAGCTGACGGAGCGGGTAGGAAGCTCGAACAAGCATAGCATTCAGGCCAGTCACCAGGCTCATTCAAGAAAAAGGGAGATGATGAAGCGAATCCGAATGTGCATGTTAACATGGCTGCCTGATCGAGGCGGAAGAATGGATCAAGTTCTCCCCACCACTGCACTGGGAAGTGCGACGCGACTCGGAAACTAGCAAACCACAGATGAGACGTCACACAACCAGCTCTTTTAGAAGGGAAAATCGCACGACACCAGATGCAGTGATCAAACACGCACAACACGAACGGTAGCTTTACGTCTGCTAACTCGTTGTACAGGGCCTCTCCACCCTCCGGTAACCCACCACTCACCCGTAACCTGGCCACGGAGACCGGACTCCGGTGTCCCGGGAGTTGGTTCAGAAGGTCAGATCACGAGGTCGGGTCAGGGGTCGGGCCAGGGATCAAGTCAAAAATTTGGGTCAGGGGGTCAGATCAGGGGGTCACGTCAGGGCGTCAGGTCGAGGGTTAGGGGTCAGGTCAAGGGCCAGGTCAGGGGCCAGGTCAGGGGTCAGGTCAGGGGTTGGGTCAGGGATCGATTCTGGGGGTCAGGCCAGGGGTCAGGTCAGGGATCGGTTCTGGGGGTCAGGTCAAGGGACAGGTCAGGGGCCAGGTCAGGGGTCAGGTCAGAGATTGGGTCAGGGATCAATTCTGGGGGTCAGGCCAGGGGTCAGGTCAGGGATCGGTTCTGGGGGTCAGGTCAGCGGGTCAGGTCAGAGATCGGTTCTGGGGGCTAGGTCAGGGGTCAGGTCAGGGATCTGTTCTGGGGCTCAGGTCAAGGGTCACGTCAGGGGTCAGGTCAGGGATCGGTTCTGGGGGCTAGGTCAGGAGTCAGGTCAAGGATCGGTTCTGGGGGTCAAGCCAGGGGTCAGGTCAGGGATCGGTTCTGGGGGTCAGGCCAGGGGTCAGGCCAGGGATCTGTTCTGGGAGTCAGGTCAAGGGTCAGGTCAGGGGTCAGGTCAGGGACCGGTTCTGGGAGTCAGGTCAGGGGTCCGGTCAGCGGGTCGGGTCGGTGGGCTGGTCCCCTCCCGCGCGGGCGGCTGCAGAGCATCGGCAGGCGGCCTCACCTGACAGCTCGTCCTCATGGCCAGGCAGACACTCCAAACTGTCGGCGGGCGCCAGGCTCATCCTGCCCGGCGACGTCATGGCCCGGCCGTCCACCGACAGCACGTACTTCTGCCGCTTGGAGGCCTTCGTCTTGAGGCCCGCCTTGCGCGCCGTGCGCAGCAGCGTCTTCTTGGCAAAGCCTCTGCGGAAGCGGGACAGCGACGGTGCTGACCTGAGCTGAGCTGACCTCGGCTGACCTGACCGGCACTGACCTGAGAGGCGGCTGTGCAGGGTGGAGCCGCGACGGAGCGTCAGCCGCAGCAGGGAAGAGCCGCGCGCCAGGCTCCGGCTGCGCAGCTTGCTGATCCGGCTGGCAGGGCTGGACGGTCACGCGAGGCCCACACACCCACACAGACGGCGGCCAGACGGACAGGACCCGGCGTGGGAGCCGGTGCGCCGTCGCTGGGGCCCAGCCCGCCATCACGGTCACGGGGTCACGACGGCGCAGACCCCATGGCCTCGCACGCTACAGAATAAGGACGCCTGCCACTTCGGGCTCAAATAAACTGGAAAGATAAATCGCCCATCAAGGAATTATCCAAGTCACCCCACTACAGCCGTTCAACACCTGTCCTGCCCAGGGTGACCCGCAGGCATCCCCCACAGTGACCTCACCAGGCCCACAAGTTCCACCCCCACCCGCTGGACATCACGGCAGCGTGCCGTGGGTCGGCGTCCGTACCGCAGCGTCGCGTTCTTCTGCTTGTCCTTGGCGCTGGTGGCGGCCGTGACGAAGTGCTGGCCGCGGAAGGCGAACAGATCGGCGATGGTGGGCGGCGCCCGCAGCCGCTGGATCAGCTTCTTGAGCCGCTCGATGCTCTCGGCCGTCACCTCCTCGTCGAACGCCAGCTTGATCAGCTGCGGGGCGGCGGCCAGTGAGACGACCGGGCACGGACACCGCGGGCGACCGCGGGCGACCGCGGGCGACCGCGGGCGGCGACGCGGCCGGCGATGCGGGCACGGATGCGGGACGCGGCGTCAGTGGTGGTCGCGTGTCTGACGCACGGCTGTCGGCGGGGAGCCCGGCCGCGCACCGACGCCCAGCGAGCTGCTAACGGCCCCGGTTTGCACCAGGTGTCCGAGAGTCCAACGTCGCGGCGCGACCTTGTCAACATTGACGTGACGGACACAGACGGCCCTTGTAACCTTGAGCGCCCGGGTGCTGAGACGGCTCAGCGTGGCGCAGAACAGCCCCAACAGGCTCCGAGAGCTATACCAACACGGCCACCGCAGGGGCTGCCCCAGCCCGGCCCAGGCCGGCCAAAACGCAGGGTCTGTGACCGCCGCCGCAGACCTGGAACGTGTTGGAGCGCAGCTGGAGTCCCTCCTGCAGCCACTGGTCCAGGTGCGGCAGGTACTGCACGCTGATCCGCTTCTCCTTGGTCAGCGACGAGACGGCGAACGAGCGTACGATGGTGAGCTCGCTGGCTGCGGAGACACTGGCCGCCGCCAGCGTCACAGTACAGCACGGGACGACCCCGCGGCGGACACAGCCACCCCGCGCTCCGGAGACCATCCATCGGCGTCTCCCGGCCACCCAGTCAACGCCGCCTGCGCTCCCTGCGTGTGCCCTAACTCCATGATATGCATCTGACATAGAGACTCATCAAAGGTTAACAGCGATACGGTAGTTGGATCGAGCAAGCACAGCGTGGACGCTGTTATCTGGCTCGGGCACGTGAAGTACTGGCGTTCGTGGCGGTACTGCCGGGCGGGCGCGCGCAAACGTCTCACCGAAAGCATCGCACGGCGCGCCCTTGAAGATAAGCCGGTAGTTGGTGATGAAGAAGGCGCCCTCGGCCGGCAGCAGGGCGGGTCCGCCCAGCTGCGCCGTCATCTCCTCGCGACCGTCGGGCAGCAGGTACACCCGCACCGCCTCCGTCAGCAGCTCCTCGCCCGGCAGCAGCGACGGCATCAGGATCTTCGGCTGCGCGCGGGCAGAGAGCTGTCAACGCCTGCGCCGCCAGCTTCCCCCCATACAGGGGCGAAGACACCGGAGTCTGCGGCTGAGGGGTGATCAGTCCAAGGACGTGGCAGGAGGCTGGCTTCTCCGGTTCGAGCGCGGTAACAGACAACTGGCCAGCCGTCACTTCAAAGGAGGCACCGGACACTCAATATGGCAGATACCTCAGCGCTCTAGGTAAATCCAATGCAATATGCAACGCACAACCCCAATTGGGCCACCCCAGACCGGGTTGGCGAAAGGCCGACGTCAGCAAGTCCTTGTTCGGTGGCAACAGGAGGCGCCATGCCACGCCACGCCTAGCCCTTCGTCTGGTGCAGACGAGGGAGGATTTGGACGCACCTTCTTGGTGGACGGCAGCCGCTTGGACTCCTTGCTGACGGCCTCCAGCGTCTCAATGTGCATGGCCACCACGCCCGACACCATCTGATGCAGCTGCCTGCGGGCGGCGAGCAGGGCAGTCACCGGGCGGGTCGGACGGGCCCGGACCCGCCGCGCACCGACAGCCCGTCACGGGACGCCGCGGGGTGGTCCGGCGAACGGCCCCGCAGCCTGAGGAGGCGCCACGTCGACGTCGAGCTGGCCAGCCCCGGTGCAAGAACACTGTCGCCGCTGCCACCACCGGCGGCAGACCGAGGCTCTCCGCATGGTCCGTCATATCGGCCACCACAGCGCACCATGAGCGCGACTCTCAAAAACCGGCTCGCCGACACGACCACGCCATGAGAGTGACCCGCCAGGCGGCCACCTGACCTCCAGCAGCCAGCTCTTGCTGACGCGAGCTCCGGCAGATCGAGCCTGACCCGACCCGCCCGGCCCGGCACGGACCTGCACCCATCCACGGTCTCCGGAGCAGGCCGCCGGCCGGCGCCGCTTACCTGACATGCTCGGGCGTGACGTGGCCCTCCGTGCAGACCTTGTCGACGAAACGCGACACGAAGCGGGTCACCTCGAGGCCGGCCGACGGCGTCTCCGGCTCCTCGAAGCCCGACTCGGCCGTCATGCTGTCCGTCTCGGCGTCCGCCACGCTGCCGACGAACATGGCGCGGCGTCAGCAGATACCGCCGCAGCGGACACGCCCGGCCACTACACAAACGACGCAAACCGCACAAACACTACAAACGTGGCGCGGCGTCAGCAGATACCGTCGCAGCGGACACGCACGGCCACCACACAAACCCACAAACGTGGCGCGGGGTCAGCAGGTACCGCCGCAGCGGACATGCACGGCCACCGCACAAACCACACAAACACCACGGGCATTACGTCGCACCATGCAAGCATTGCGCCGGCGACATGCGCTGGAGCGCCGGGAGGCTTGCCGGCCCGTCAGATTGCGCCACCAAACAGCGGCACTGACGTCAGACTACAGTAGACACGCGCCACATCGGGCTGGCCCGCTGACGCATATGGCAGGGGCCGGGGCGCTCCGCGGCCTATGTGAGGCTGGCCGACGGCAAACCAGCACGTGGCAGGCGGCAGGCAACGAGCATCGAGCAAAGAATTCCGTTAGGGATGGCCCAAAAAATGGCACAAGGGAGAAACACACAACAGGCATGTAACCGTCATATGCGTCGGTTTTCACCTGAACAATCAACCTCAGCATGGATCGATACTTTTCTGTATCGATTTCGGTGGGTGGCATAGGAGCAGGCGTCGGTTGCCTTGCGGCATGCGAGTCATCCTGTTACCCGAGTTATCCGGGCGCACGGCTGCTACCGGGCCGCTCCCCACCTGTTGGTGACGCTGTTGCTGTTGCTCTCGCGCTCGTTGTAGTTGTGAACACGCTGTCGGCGCGACACCACGTCCAGGGGCACACGCAGGTAGACGATGCGGTTGGCATAGTGGATGGCCTGGCTGAACACGGTCGACTCCTCCGTCTTGATCAGCTCCTGCAGCTTGGCTGTGGACGCGGGCAGACGGCATGATCACACGCCGCGCCACTAGCACTCGCCCCGCTCCCAACGCACAGCGCTCCTGAGCGATACTGCATGCACTGTGGTGACAACTTACGCATGTGTGAACAAAACATGCATCAACCAAACCAACTGCCTGCGCGACACATTTGTGCGGTAACTCCTACGCCAAGCTGACCACATCCTCAAAACGCGCCCACAACATGCACATCCGGCCTGACCCAGCTCACGCTGTGGCGCGGCGCGGCCACGTACCGTCCTCGATCTGCGCGCGCATGCGCAGCTGGTCGGCGGCGAGCTCGAGCGCCGACGGCTCGGCGCGCCGCTCCGAGCGCCAGCCGCCGCTGTCGCGCTCGTCGAGCACGCCGAATTGGGCGCCCGTCGCGTCGATCACGCCGTAGCGCGACTCATGCCGCGGCGCGTACAGCCGCTGCACGTCGCGCTGCACGTCCTGGTAGAAGGCCGACTCCCAGAACTGCAGGTTCTGCCACACGGTGTGCTCCTGCGGCGAGGAGGGCGGCGCCGGACCGGACGGTGAGGCGCGGCGCCACGGACGGCCGTCTCACAGCCAGCAGCGCCACCGCACGCGGCGTGATCGAAACGAAAAGCCGGGGCGGACGAGGCGATTCGGCCAACAAATAGGAGCTTTCTCTAACCTGGATCCATTCATCACCAATCTCATCCAAATGTATGCCAAGCGCGCAAAAACAGAAACGGAACACCTGACTCGACCCAGCCCCCGGCGACAACACCTAGACGGCGCACCACCGGCGCCCTGCGTCACCACACAAGTCGCCCGCGGTTCGGCACTGGCCAGACGAGCCTCCCGTCCCACCTGGATGCAGGTGTAGGCGAACTGTATGACGCCGGTGCAGAGCTTGCGGCAGAAGGCGGTGGCCAGCGGCAGGATGGCGGCCGCCACGCCGTGCTCGTCCATGGTCGAGTCGTCCTGTCCAGACACGGCGGTCAGCGTTCGCCATGACCCACGGCCGTGTACAGACCGCTCAGAGGGGCCCCGGGGAACTGCGCCGCTGTCACAAAGGACGGCGCTGGGGGAGGGACGAGGGGCAGGCAGACAGGGGTCTGCAGGGCACAAGATGGAGCACTGAAGGCTGGGGACAAAACGGGACGAAGAGGCGTTGTTCAATGGCATCTCCCTTTGCTTGGGTATCTTTTGACAAGCACATACCATACCGGATCAGAAAAATCCCCGCCGTTTCCTGTTGTTTTCGAACCGAGCGTCGATGGGAAGTCGCCCGCCGCTTCCTTTGGGCTGCGTACCGCTCGTTGAATTCAGGACAGGACAGCGAGGTCACACCAAGGAGCTGAGTAAGTACATGTGCAGAGACGTACCGGGCACATTCTCAAGCGGTCCTCTCCTCTCGGTAGCAGGTCTGCCACCGAGCCGGTGTCCGCGGCCTCACCTGCAGAGCGCAGTTCATTAGGCGCACCACCAGCTCGAACTGCTCGTTGTCCAGGATGGCCTTGTTGCCGATCACGTGCTGGGACAGCTCGTGACAGAGCACCAGCCGGGCGAACTTGTTCTTCAGCGCGCGCAGCACCGCCGGGAAAGACTTGCGCGCGTCCGAGATCTTGGACTCGAAGATGCAGCTGACGCAGTTGCGCAGCACCTGCACGGGGCGGTAGGGCAGACGAACGTGACCCCGAGGCACCTGACGGGCCGGGTGCCGGTGGGGTGCTCCCCCAAACACTCACACACGCAGATCGCAATGCAGTTGACGCATCCTTAAAGCTCGGTAACTGACCTAGACCCCACACGACGCTCCTGAACACATCGCATCGCCTGCCCGTCGCATACAAACGGGGACTGACGTATGCCATGCACCAGCCTAGAAGCAAGTCGTGGCATAACGTGATGAGAAGGCCCGGCACAGTGGGGCTGCGGAGGCATCACGGAACTACTACGGAGTTAAGAGGTGGGATGTTCCACCGGCCGGACCGGCAATGCCTCCGGGGCTGCAGCGGTGACACCGCTCCACCCGTGTTGAAGTTCACTCACACGGAGGTGGGTCGGAGGGAAAGAAGCGGCGGAGAGGCCGGCACTCGGGGTCCCGCCAGAGGAGTGGGGTGGCCGGGGTGGGACGGTCAGAGGCCGGCGCCCTGCTCCGTGTCGCTCTGCTCCATGTCGCTGCCTCACCTCTAGCCGGCGGGCAGAGTTGTTGACAATCTGGCGGCCGTCCGGCTGCAGGCTCGAGATGTGCGGCCCCATCGGCACGATCCGGTTCGGCTGCGGCTTGATGGCGGCCAGCCTGCAGCGACGGAGCCGTCAGACTGGAGCGGACCCGCGCCCGGCGCGCGCTGCCGCCGTCCGCACGCCGCACTGACATAGCGCAGCACGCGGCGCGCAGGCGCACAGCGCCGCAAACGAATCCGCGGTGCGAAGCGTCCACAAGAGCACTGCCAAAAGTGCCGGCGAGATAGATAGCCTTGTAATCTGCGACCGCACCTTCTCCGGGGTCTGAAGCCGGTTGTGGCACGCAGAACCTACAACGCGCATCTTGTTTACAAGCGTGTACAGCACACACATGTCTCACACGCCGTTGACGTAACTTGTCTGCGCACGAGTAAGTTATGGAGCGCATGAGTAGCATAGCTTCCACCACAACCACCAGCAACACGAAAACGTGCGCGTTTAGAGCAAAAAGCTTTTGACGGATCAACAAGAAGCAAATGAAACCAGTTTCAGGCACCCAACCACCCCAAGCAAAAGCGGTCTTTCAGCCAGGGTAGTCTCCATACATCACACAACCCGGCGGGCGCCGCTTCTGCCGCAGCTGCAGATTAGTGTCACACCGACAAGGCAGTGAGCCCGAGTCGCTGTTGGCAGCCACAGCGAGACAAAGCGCCCAGTCGAAGCGGCGTTGAGACGGCACGCATACAGAGACCACCAACCCGAGTCACAAACCAGAAAGCCAGGCAAGGGCTTACCCCTCGCTAGTCAGGACACTGGGGAACGAAACAGGAGTGAGAACTTGCAAAGGCGTGGTTTGGCACTGGACGGCACGACGGCGCGATAGCGCAAAAAAATATTCTTCACAGCCAGGCGTGGTAAGGGCTGCTAACAAACGCTCGCTAAACAAATCAGCCCGACGCGACGGCTGCGCACGGATGGGCATGAAATGGCTCGGAAAACATGGCCCAGCAGGCCAACTGGCGAAGGCAAGTGATTAAAAGCACAGGAACGGGTAAACAATATCAAACGGCGTTAGGCACCACACGAAAATAATGCGCACACAAAACGCGGCCACGCAGCAGTGCCGGGCGCTCTGAGCACAGAGACCAGACGCCCTCGACACCAGGTCCTCTGAGAACAGACCCACCCGGCGCCAGACCCGCTGAGAACAGGCCCGCCCGGCACCAGGCCCCCTGAGAACAGACCGGTCCAGCACCAGACCCAGCTGTGGAACGCGCCGCCAGCCCAGCGTCGGCCCGGGCGCCTCCCGCACGCTAGAGACCACCGGAAGATTTCCATCCGGGCCGACCTCCGGAGTGGGTCCCGACTGTGGGGGGGGGGGGGGGGGCTCCGCACCGACGCCTGACGGGCTTTGCTAGGCGTGACTGGTAATTGCTGCGACGGCTTTATTTGGTCCGCCGAGCCGGTGGCTATCTGTTTCGTCGTGCGCATTTGCTGACACAGAGTGACACCAGATCTCGAGATATTTTTGCAGTCCGTTTCCACGCAACGACGCCTACTCATATCCAGCACCTATTCGCCAAAAGGCCATACTTAGTCTGCGGGAACCAGCCTGGAACCTGCCAGGCGGTGCGCGTCGCGCCGCGCTCACCTCTGCTTGAGGTTGGTCTTGCTCCTGCCCTCTTCGATGACGCGGTGCACGACATCCGGCTGCAGGGTGGGGAACACCGGCTGGTGGATGCGCCGGAACGAGCCCTCGGTGGGGCGCGGGATCTTCTCCACGTACGGCTGCTGGCTGGGGCTCTCGTTGTTGTAGAGATGCTGCGCCAGCTCCTGGAGAGCCGAGCGGTCGACGGTCAGCCGGTCACGTGTCATGCCCCCTCCACCGCGGGTGCTGCGTGAAGAGGAGATCCGTCCGACCCAAGGACGTCCGTCCACGTCACGTGCTGTGACGCGGCGGGAGTGTGTCGTGGTCATCGTCAGAGAACTCGGCGACAGTGCTGGTGGCGGCTCCCAGGCCCGGCTTGGCGGTCGGGGAGCGCCCCCAGCTAGACTTCAGCTCTCCGGTCCCTCACGTGGACGGCCTCACGACCGCACTGTTGGTGATTACAACGGTGTATGTACGCGGCGCCGACAGACACGCGGTGGACGACACATGAGTCACCACCGGCAGCAATGCTAAGAAAACAGGCGTAGGTCTAACCTCATGCTGGGCAGCTGATCCAACACTGCTAACGCTCACGCCGTTACAGCCCAGGCCTTCAACCAAACGCCGTCCCCTAACAAAACAATCAGAGTAAATAACCAAACAAACCAAGCGCACCCGACGCGCCTCTGACATCACGTCCCAGGCCTCCAGTCAAGAGCCCCCAGCGGGATCGCCCGCCACTGTTCACGGCCTGACCGGCCGTCCGGGGGCGGGCGCGGCCGCGTACCTGCAGGTGGGCGACGGTGAGCGAGCGGTCGCCGGCCTCCTGGCGGACCTGGTCGGCGATGCCACAGTACACCTCGTCGAAGATGTCACACGGTCGCCACGGCGGGCCGCGCTCCGTGATGAACGCCGTGAAGAACATGCAGTCAAGCAGGCGGGCGGTGAACGCGCAGTCGACCAGGGACCGCTGGCCCAGGAAAGACGCCTGCCGACCGGCGGCGCAGGCGTCAGACGAGACAGGCGCGGCGCACAAGACAGACGCGACGCGGCGCACGAGCGACGCCTGCATGGCTGAGCACGCGCCGGACACGGACCGAAGCGGGGCGGGGTGCCGGTGACGTCACAGCCTCGGAGGACGGTCTCCTGACAGGTGGCGGAGGCACCGCCGCCCCGGTACGTCAGCGGCAGCTGCGGTACAGCCGAGACCGGCACCAGCGTGACGCGACCGGACCGCACAGCGCGGGCGGGACGCTGAGCCTGGGGAGGGACGCGCCGCCTGCAGCTGACGGCTTACCAGGCGCCTGGCTGTTATGTACACCTCCACAGCTGGAGCGCCACCCTCGCCAATGAGTTCGCTATAATCCGGAGCGGGCGCTTTAAACCACAAGCGGGCAATACAAGTACGAATGCGACACTCTCTCGAGCAGGCGCCGGGACCCGAGCGGCAGCCAGACAGCGGGCGCCTTGTTCGCCGCCAGGCGTCTCCACGTCTGCTGTTTACCTTGTGGAAGGTGATGACCGGCGACGGGTGTATGCGGATGAGGGTCAGACAGTTGCGGTAGCCCTGCAGCAGCTGGGCGAATAGGCGCAGGAACACGGCCCGGATCTCCTTGTCCAGGATCTGGCGGTGACAGCGCTTCGCTTACCAGACACGCTTCCGCAGCACGAGAGCGGTGCGATAGCGGGAACTGCAACAGCATCCGTCATAAAGTATGTGCACTGTGACAGCACACCACCCATGACACACATGCACGACCCATTTCCGTCGTTGCTGCAACACGCCCGCCCCCAGTGCGACATCCCCGGAACCGATTTCGCAACAGCTACTGTGTACGGTTCCAAAGCAGACGGGTCGGGTCCAGCGGCCGTCGGCCTGCGCCACCTGCCCGGCCACAGCCTCCGCGGGGGGGTCGGCACACGTACCAGCGGGGGCGAGGGCCGCACCGGCGAGGGGAAGGCGTGGTCGGAGCGGTGCAAGTCCGGGTGCAGCACCTGCGACAGGCTGTGCAGCGCCACAGAGCGCACGGGCTCGGCGAGCTGCGGGATCACGCACGACTCCGGCACGCTCACGCTGCCGCCGTCCAGGTCGGCCACGATCACGTCCATCTGCCGGGCACAGGGCGCGGCGGCGGTCAGCCGCCCCGGCAGCCGAGTCGTGCCGCACGGCTAAGGTCCGACTGGCTGCCGCGGAAAGAACACGCGCATGTCTTGTCACGCTCGCGGCTAGAAACGGGACAGCCGGTATCTGACGGGCCGCGTGCGGCCGCCAGCGGCAGTCGGCACCGAAACGGCAACTTCTCCATGTGCTGTGTACAGCTTCACGCGTACGCCTGCCCGCCGCTGGTGACAAGACATACGTCGCCATCATGTCTATAACAGCTAACATCAGCAGGCAGACAAAACAGCCACGACCACGGCGCCGGGGGAAGCCCCGCCCGGCGCCTGCACATGGCGCGGTCTGCGACGCCAGTGAAGCCGGGGCCTGCCGTCCAGCGCCGGCTGGCCGCCGCGCCGACAGCCTCACCAGGTCGGGCAGGTTACGCAGCGCCGACGAGTGCGCGCCCATCATGAACGGCGTGGGCGTGTTGGCCACCTCCAGCAGCAGGGTCGGCAGCACCGGGATGTACACGTAGCTGGGGGACGGCGTCGCGCGCGTCAGGCGGCGGCGGCCACGGCCCGGGCGCGTGCGTTGGACGGGCTGGAGGACTGAGCACCCGTGACCCGAGGTGGCGCGGCCGTGACACACGTGAGGGGCGCACACCACGAGGCCCCGGGGCTGAGTGAGGCACGTCGCGGAATAGCATCATCCATCAGGGGGCCAGTTACGCACGCTTGGCGCGCTGCGAGCATCCAGTGCCACGCGACCTGTGGCCGTGACAACGCCGAGGTGCGGAGCGCAAAATCAGTATAACTGGTTCAGTTCACGCGAAACGGTACCTCAACTGCATTATCGGTAACCACTAACCACCAATGCAGCCAGCGTTGCAAAATCTCTACCAGGCGTCGCGTCGGACCGCTCGCCCGGTGACACCGGAATGGCAGCCCCGAGCAAACTAGCTGACCACATTAAACACCGCACTTTTCTCAACTGACTGAAACGCCAAGCATCTGGGCGGCATTTCCGACGTGAGCACCACAGTGCACCACCCCGCCTCGACCACGCAAAACCCACCCTGGCCCGCCGTCCCCTGTCCCCTTGCCTCTGGGGGAACCCCGCCCACCAGTCCAGGCGGCCGCCAAGGCCAGCAGCGCACGGCGCGTCATGGCGTCCGGCGCGTGCGCGCGTACCCGTACTTGAGGAGGTGAGCGTACCTGTACTTGAAGGGGCACATGACACAAGTGAGCATACCGGTACCTGGAGGGGTACATCAGAGAGGTGCGCGTACCTGTACATAAAAGGGCACATAAGAGAGGTGAACGTACCCGCATTTGAAGGGGTACATGAGAGAGGTGAGCGTACCTGTACTTGAAGGGGTACATGAGAGAGGTGAGCGCGTGGAAGGCCTCCGTCAGCCGCGAGTACGAGCACGAGTGCATCAGGATCTTGTGCTCTGTCATAGCCGCGCAGAACAGCGTCATCACGTTCTTGATACCTGTCGGCGGCGGCCACACGTGAAGACCGGCCGCTTCGCACGCGTCGGTGCCCGGCGCGCTCGCCATGGTGCACATGGCACGCGCAGCGACCGCCGGACGGCATCATTCGGAGATCAGGGAACATCCACCAGGGCGGATATGTGGTACCAGCTGTGACACGTCACGACGTGACCTGCATTCTATCTTTGGTTATCGCGAATCTTTGCCGAGCCTCGCGGCTGAGGATGCCGGCAAAGAAACAGTCAGTCAGTCGCATTCTAGTTTGCGCGGGCTGGTCGAACAGGCACGCATCCATCATTGTCAGAGTATCGTCGGGGTCCTGATAACAGGTGCAGTCTGCCAGTGGCCGTCTGCAGCAAAACCATTGTACAAGGCAGGTGATGACGCAGGATTTGCACAGAGAAAAGGGGGAAGAGCTCCCACTATCAGCATTTTTACTGCCCACTTTACAAGCTTGACGATCGTAAAATGACCTACAATAAAAGCCCGTCAGCTGTATGCTCTTCACCTTTACAATGTTACACAACATGGCGCAAACTTCAATCTAAAACCTCTACATCCACCCATTGGAGTAAACAGGTAGACCAGCAGCAGCCCCGCCCGCGTGCCCACCGTCGGCCGGTACAGCGGCGTGCACCGCAAGGTCCCACCCAGCTCCTGTCCTTGGCGAGCCATTAACGTATGCTGATATATCAGAAACAAACACAGTTCAAAGCCTTGCCGAGCAGGATTGACGAGCAGAAACATCGTTTAAAGTCCATCCCATAATCTCTTCCGGAAGGGTAATTTATATCCGAGTGGCCTCGCTCATGTGCAGATAGGATCAGATGGTAATGTATCTAGGCACTCTCCGCCTACAGTCCATGCGACACTGAAGTGACGCAACGACTTCGGTGCTGCTTTGCTCGAAATGGTAATACCGTATGTCCCATAGCCTGCACAATGAGATATGAATAGCTCATTAAAATAGGGTGCGAAAACTGACGATAGGCCACGTTATCGCCTCGGGACATGTGGCTGATGACGCGTGCCACGCGCACACGTGCCAGACGCGTCACCGATGTGTGGCACAGCCGGTTGGCAACAATCGGCGTGACCAGATGGCCACGAGAGCATCTCCTTCCATTGATTGTCGTTGCCTAAGCCGGGATATTCCAGCCCGCATGTGGCACATCCGCCGCCGCTTCAGGCAGACACGGACCCGAGGCCGCCCACACGCCACACATCGCCGGAAGCGTCCACCTCGGACGGCTCGACGCCACCCCCGGTCACGGAAGTCGGCCGTGGGCGGCCCCTGACCGCCGTCCACGCGACAGAGCGCGTCGCCGGCCACCCGCACGCCGGCGGCCGCCGCCGCCTGCGCCGCGCTCACCGAGCTGGCCGAACAGCTGCGCCACGGCCGTGCCTGTCGTGGGGATGGTCGGCGAGAGCGGCGGCTGCAGCGCCTGCCGGTCTCCGGCGCCGATGCTGAACCGCACCTGGGGCCCGCCCGGAGGCGGCACCTGGGCAAACGCGCCGGCACGCCGTCAGCCGCCGCCGCGCCGGGGAGCGCCAGCGCCGCAGCCGGGCGACGCCGAGATACAACAAAACGGCCGGAGACGCGCCGGGCGTCGGGCTAGTTATGGGTGGTAGGCTGACTGGCATGTGGCGGGAAGGTGGCGAGGTATCCTGCTCCCTGAACAGTCACAATAGTCGAATCTCTCGCGATAACTGGAGGCATTAGAACCCTCGAGGAGTGGAAATCTACACATACCAGCACTCCATCGATTACTTCAAACCATGACAGATAAGGTGGCGCTAGTCAGTAGTGAACACATTGCAAACATTGCAAACACTCCCGACACGTCCGTGTTCATATATCTCAACCAACGACAAAAGCAATCCAGCACTGCAGAACGCATCAAACCGACGCCCGCGCCACAACCACCACAGGCTTCGAGCGACGGCGAGCCGCAGCACACGCGCCCGGCAGGGTCCCGCCCCGGAGCGTGCACGTGCCGTGCCGCGCCGCGCCGCCCGGCGGGCCGCCTGACCTGCACACAGCCCAGGATGTTGCCGACCAGCGCCTCCAGGTCCACGCCGAGGTTGTCCGTGTACACGGCGTACAGGATGCCCAGGCAGTTCTGCGACGGATCGGCTGGCGGTTAGCGCGAACTGGCACACGACCGGTCTGACACGAGACGCCAAGGCTTCATGCCACACGTAGCGCGGGAAAATGCCCCCAGGAAGTCACACAGCGTAGAAACAGCGTATGAGCAAGCAATAATGGCCGAGCCGTCGCTTCGTCGAAACACCAAATCACGTGCGATGGGGATACAGATGGTGATACCTCAGTTGGACTCGGACATATGCTACACGGCAATATGGTCGCATGCCACTCTCCACACTCACAGCCATTTACGCTACCCACCGGCGCCGCATTGCAAGAAGTGGCTGCGTCCCGGACGTCCTAGCTTTCCTCGTGCTGAGCTTAACGGAAGTCTATTCATAGTTATCCTACACCCGCCACCTTCCGCGCACTGGCCATCATCGTGTCCCACTGTCCGCTCATGGCGCCGCGGCGTAGATAGAGCGTTGGGACGGCCCGCAGCGCTGGACCGGCGTCCGGCCTGACGCCGCAGCCGCGTGAGTCCGTCCGTTCCGGCTGCTAGCAAGCGGCCAGCGCCGGGGCTGCAGCGGCGCCGCTGGGCGCCGCGCCGGTCAGTCAGCTCACATCGCAGCGGCCAGGGTCAGCAGGGTCAGCGGCGACGGGCGGCCGGCGCCGGCCGCAGCTCATCTGGGCGCGCCGCCGCCGCCGCTGCCGCCGCCGCCGCGCCAGGGCCGCCGGCAGCGCGTCCGAGCCGTCAGTCAGTCAGTCGACAGTTTGTCCCAGCGCGCTGGCGTTCGGCGCCGCTGGCAACCAGCCGTCTGCTCGCTCCGTGTCGCTCGCGGACCGCCCGATCCTGGAGCGGCGGCCACAGCGGGGCGGCAGCCGCGGCGCACTCCTGAAAGTGACGAAGTCCTCGGGTCCTCACCCTGAAAGTGACGAAGTAGTCGAGCCGGGAGACGAGCACCAGCGCCTTGGGTGCGTACATGACGCTGTGGTGGGTGATGGTCGGCAGACGCTGCAGGCCGTTTCGCTCGCCGCTGAACGTCTCCTCCTCCTGTGGCGATCGCATCGGGTCAGACCACGAAACGGAGCGCAGCACAGCACAGCGTCAGGTGGGACACAGCACAGCGTCACATGGGACACAGCACAGCGTCAGGTGGGGCACAGCACAGCGTAGGTGGGACACAGCACAGCGTCACATGGGACACAGCACAGCGTCAGGTGGGGCACAGCACAGCGTAGGTGGGACACAGCACAGCGTCACATGGGACACAGCACAGCGTCAGGTGGGACACAGCACCTCGTGCGATGGGACACAGTACAACGTCGGGTGGGACACAGCACTGTGTCCGATGGGATACAGCACAGCGTCAGGTGGGACACAGCACCGCATGCGATGGGACGCAGAACCGTGTGCGATGGGGCACAGCACAACGTCGGGTGGGACACAGCACAGCGTCGGGCGGGACACAGCACAGCATCAGAGGGAACACAGCAAACGCACAGCGCTAGGTGAGACAGAGCAAGCGCACAGACCAGGCGCACGGAGCACGCACCTTGCCGCAGTTTGGCAGCAGCATCTCAGTCCGTGACACAACACAAATACAAAACCCCACCGGCGACACCACCTCACATTCCATTTGTACCTGGAACAGCAGTGTGAGGCCACCGAACAGCTCCCAGGTCGGCGACGGCGTCGCCCGACACGGACGGACAAGCCCGTGGCCGGGGCCGCCGGCGCCCCGGGACACCTGTCGCCGGTCGGAGTGGCCGCACGGGCTGGGTCCCAGCACGACAGCCCCACCGCCGCTTCGGCGTCACTGCAGGGCCGGCGTTGGCGCCGCGGCCATCCGTCTGCACCCGACAACCCGGTACAATTCGGCCGCCAAAAATGGCGCGACACCAGCTGCAAACTCTATACCGGCGCATACACCTCCCAACGCCCTCTCACAGGGCGCTAATCTGCTGACCTTGAACCCAAACCTGGCTTGAACTAGAACCCAAATGGAACCAACGTAAAAATAAAAGCTAAGTAGCGCTTCCAAGTACGATGAACCAAAACTTGGTGCAATTTAGACGATTCATATTAAAATCACAGCCAAGTGATGCTTTCGAAGCACGTAGCGGCCGATTGCAAACCAAAATGCCGACGCTATACCTGCTGCAACGATAGAACAACCGCGCTGAGTGACACGACTGGTATACCCGAGCAGCGACAAGGGGACCACATCGCGTCTGGCAACCTTCGCGACAGGCGAGGCTTTAACCGATTGTCCGCACGGTGAGCTGGTGGGCTTAACGTCACGACTTGAAGAAGCACAGGCGTGCCTGCCCCGCCGGGCATAAATTGGCTGAAGTGGCGTGACCCATTCGGCCCCACGAGGGGCCATCAGCCACGGCACGTTCCCGACAACACGACCCTCATCCAGCCCATCACTGTCGGCCGTCGCCACCGTCGTCACCTCATCTATCCGAGTAAAGCTCGCTGCGAAAAAGTATGATCCTGAGCGCCTCCCCAGCCGGCGGCGGGACAACACGGACCGAACGGCGGACACTGCGGTGCCAGCGCCCCTGTCTTCAGACAGCATGCCCGCACCAGCTCGCCGATTCCCCGAGCGCCCGACCGTCCCTGAAGCGTGGCGGCACGTCCCCGCCGGCGGCCCGGCGACAGCGGCGCGGCGACAGCCGGAAGACACGACAGCCTTTCACGCCCACGCGACGCCGATCTGAGACGGCCGCCGTCCGGCAGCTCGGCGTGGTCCCGCGCCGACACCGCTCGCCGGCAGCCGCTCTGCAGCCCGCTCCGCGAGCGCCACCGCTCGCCGGCAGCCCGCTCTGCAGCCCGCTCCGCGAGCGCCATCGCTCGCCGGCAGTCCGCTCTGCAGCCCGCTCCGCGAGCGCCACCGCTCGCCTCTGCTCGCCACGTGCGCCGCAGACCCTTGTGGTGCAGACCCACGTGCGGCCCATCATCGCTGACCAGCCGGGACACGAGGGCTCCCCGATACAGCGGCGCCGTGTGCGCCCGGAAGTGCGCACACGGGAGTACATAATCTTGATCCGATTGTGAAGATTGGCATCACCTTGAAGTGTGCAGGCCGCTTTTGCCCCGAAAACTGATGGGACAGCACAGCTTGAGGTAGTGAGCCGCCGCCTCTAGCGCGGCCCCGTTCCCAGACCCCGCGCTGCACCGGAGCCACCCGGAGTACTGCCATCGACTGCCGCCTGCTGCATCAAGTTCCGCCCACCTCCTCAGCAACAGGTGCAGGCCGCAAACCACGCGCCACACTCACACGGAAGGGAGCGCAAGTCGGCTGGCTGACACCGCCGCCCCCCCCCCCCCCCCCCCCCCCCCCCCTCCTCCCCGACCACCCCCACACGCGGAGTCAGCTGGCACGCGAGGCCCCCAATCTGGCCGTCAGATCGGTCGGCCGTACGGCACAAATACCGCCGCAGCGCCGCCAAACACTCGTCCGGTCCGGCGATATCTCCACAGGCAGCTCGACGGCGACCCAGAGGGGAATGGCTCAACACGGACGGGATGCTACCACATCACAGGAAAGCGCCCCCGTGCCTGCAGCCCGCCCGAGCCGGCCAAACCCCGACCGCTGGCACGGCACGCCACGGCGGGACACACGACGCCGGGAGGCGTACATTCCAATGCATGGCGTGCATTTCAGCATTTGGTAGCCCTCAGTTTAATCAACAAATCCGCTGCGGATCCGCGCCGCCCTGGACCAGCCGGAGTGGCGGTCAGCGTCGACACGGCTTGCGCCCGGCTCGCGCCCCGCCAGCGCCAGGGCGGCCGATGGGCACACCCGTGCTCGTCCAGTCAGTCGGCCGCGGCGCCGGTGCGCCCCAGCCCACGGCGGCCACGAGCGGCTCTTTCATCGAGCGTCACGCGGAGCGCTACCTCTCGCCGAGTGCTGAAAACACCGCGCCGCCTTGCGAGTGCGCACACCATTAATCTCGTGCGCCCCTCGACGTGCTCGGGGGGCGCGTGTAACAACGGCGCGGCCCGTGCAGCGGGTCGGGCGGCTGCGGGAGACCGGAAGCCCGCAGCGGGTGCTCCCAGCGCCACGCCTGGCCGCCGAGCGCCCGCCGGCGCCGCGCGGCAGGGCCAGCCGGCGGAGCTGGACGGCAGGGGACGCCGGCAGCCAGCCCGCTGCCGCGGCCGCCCTGACGAGCCATGCAGCGGCTGCGAGGCCACCTGAGGCTGACTCCGAGGGCAGACCTTGGAGCTCCGATACAGCTGCTTGGTTGTTTGGCGTTTAAAGGCGCTTCAATAGCGAGGCCATTTTGCATGCTTGGAAGGGAATGGCAGACTGATCAAAAGGCAGACGGCAGCCCGTTCCGAAGCGAGACGGTGCAGTGGCTCACTCGAAAGAGAGACGGCGGCCCGCCCATCTGACGGTAAACAGCTCACACGACAGGGCGCGAGTCGTTCAGAAGGAAGCTGGGCCATCGCGGAGCGGCGGCGCGGCGGCGCGGCCGGCGCCCGGCCAGGGTCGGGCCGGTCCGTTTTTCAGCACCGGTCAGGCGGGCGCCGGCGGCGGCCCGGCCCGCTGCCGGCCGCGTCTGACCGCCGCCCGGCCGCCGCGCCTCGCCCCTGACCCGGGCCAGAGAGAGACCGGCCGGGTTCGCACACGCCGGCGCGTGGTTCAGGCGGCGGGTCGCGGCCAGGGCCGGGCGAGAGGAGATACGACTGCACGCTGGTTGAGATCCTGTTCGGATGCAGTGACGCGTTGATCTGTACTGGTGTTTTGTATTTACGCATCGGTATACCCACATTCCTGTATCTGCATCGTCTTAAAACAAACTGTTTGTGTGCCCGCCACCGCGAAAAATAGTCGTCGAGGTACCGGTAAGAGGGGAATGACAACGAAAAAAAATTAGCAGGAAGTCAAAGGGTGGAAAGGCGAGAACAGAGGAAGACTATGACACGACCGCAGACCGCGATGTGGAGCAAGGGATGGGGAGGGATTGCTTGTTAAGTGCAAAAGAGCACGCGGCTCGTCAGATCTCCGTAGACTAGAAGTCTAACCAGCGCTAAATAGCCGCACTGTGTGAGCGAAAGCCCCCTTACGATCACCACCGGCGCCATGTACTGATCACATAGTTACTTTCACTGTAAACCGGTCCGTCTGGTTCAACCAACAGATCAGTTTATCGCAGAAAGGGCAGCCGCTGAGCGTAACAAGAGTGTTCCGTCCCACGCAAAACGAGCGGGCAACAGTTGGCTCCAGATATCATTGTACCCAGCCTGGGAGTGATTTGCCAGAAATGCTTGCCGTGATGGAGCCCAATACTGCTGAATGGTGACCGTCCATTGCACACGTTCACGTCACGGCAGCAGAGTTTGCTTCGCAAAGTATCGGGGCGTAGCAGGGTGCAGCAGGCATTTGGCGCTCGGCCAAAGGCGTTGAAGAAAGTCCGAGTCCATGGCAAATGCCGTCGCAGCACCGCAACAGTTCGGAAAACCGCGCCCCCGGCGACCGCTGCCCTCCACCATAACCAGAGCGCGCCCCTGTGCGTCAGGCACCAGACGGCACCAGACGCCCCGAGACAGAATACAGGCTCCGGTGCCCGGTGGTCCGCCCCGCTTCCGCAGGTCATCCGCGCCGACTGACGATCCAGAGGGGACGTGGCAGGATGGAGGGGGAGGGGAGGGGGAGCCTGATGACTCCAGCGGGCGACTGACGGTCTTTGCCGTCAGCCAGCGGCCCACGTCATCACGGCGCCCTCCTCGGCTCGGGCGAGCCGCACCCGTCTGCGGTCGGGTCGGCCCACGCGGCGCCGGCCGGGCAGCCTGCTCACCGGCCCAGAACGCCCGAGGCTGGACCACCCACGCCCAACCGCCCGCCCCACCCCACTCTCGTGGGCGTCGATCACGCGTGCTCGCTCCCCCGAGAGCCCCCACGAGAACGGCCCGAGTCGAGCCTCCCGACCTCGGCAATTGTGCGCTGCAAGGCGGCGGCGGTCTAGCGCCGCCCCCCCCCCCCCCCCCCCCCCCGCCATCACGAGGCCACTCTCCGCGGGCTGCAGTGTTCTCCTCGGCCGGAGCAGAAGGCCAGCAGTAAGCGCAGCCTCCGCGCCGGCCCGCCCCGCCGCACCACGGAGACGGCGCCCGGCCGCCTCACACACACAGACGTGGCCCGGGCGCGGCGCCGCGCTGCGGTGACGCACGGCCGCGGCGCGCGCCCCGCGTCATCCCGCCGGCGTGACGTCCCGCCCACGCACCTCGTCCACCGGCTTGCTGGGCTGGATGGTGACGGTCTCGTTGAAGGTGAGGCAGGCGCAGTAGTGCCGGTTGGCGTCCACGTCTGTGAGCACCGAGACGAAGAAGCGCGGCTCCAGACGCTCCGTGGAAAGCGCCCAGCCCTGCGGCTGGCAGAACTGCCGGCACACGCGCGGCGCGAGCGGTCAGGTCGAGGCCGGCGGCGCGCCGGCTGTCACCCGTGTGAGGCACCGGCCGGTCACAGATGGGGTATACACACATAGCACGCGGCGGGCTGTCATCTCACGCGAGACGCACCCGGTCACCACAGGGTTCAGTCATCAACCAAATCGGGCGAAGCACACATAACAGACGTACACAGTTCTTCCCATGCGATACTTCACACTCAGTAGGCAATGACGCTACGATGCGGATTAAGCGAAGCAATGAGATGCAAACCAGCCGGACACCGCTTCAGGTCGCTGTCGCCGAACAGTGAACAAGCCCGCTGGTGAGATCTTAGCCTCTGGTTAGCCTGGGTCAGGGTCTCTCTGATCGGCCTGGGCCGGAGGCATGCGCAGAAGCTCGAAACACCATCGAGGCGAGCCGCTGCAACGCGCCGCCCCGTACAACACACGACGACGCCGTGCATGCAAGCACGGCGCGTGATGAGTTTAACGCTGAATCGTGACGTGAACTGTAAGAGGAAGACCAGGCCACCTCGCCAGACATTTATGTCAGCACTCTAAAACTTTGAAGCGATTCATCATGGGTCGCTCATTGTCCACCAGAGCTCGCAATAGCTATAAACCCGCGCTTGAAATATCGACACACCGCTGGTTATTTCATTTGACGACGGCGCTGGTAAGACAGTGGCGTAGCCAAGGAGCTTTTGGGGCAATGTCCCCTCGCGCTTCTGACGGTGACGGGCCCCCTGGAGCCGAGAGACTCTGTATATATATTTTTTTAATTAAAGACATTTGAAGGAATTTAAAGCATAAAAACAGATGCTTAAGGCATCAAATGCCCCCCTCCCCCCCCCCCCGGTCTAAAAATGTCCCGAATAGAAACACGACCCCTATAGCGAGAAAGTGAGCCACCTTGGCTCAAAGGGCTCCCTGTGCTCGATTTGATCCCTCCTGGACGAAATTCTGGCCACGCCACTGTGGTGAGATACGACTGGCACGCCACGCCCATTTGGTAGAGCCGCATCCCAGTGATTCGCAGTCGCAGCGTACCCAAGCCCCGCGGCGGGCCATCTCGGTCATTCGCTCCCCACAGTCACGGCTCACCCGCGAGCGGCGGCGGGCGCGTTAGCAGCTGCCTCGTCATGAGGTGACCTTCGACGCCCCAGCCGGAGAAGCGGCTCACGTATGGTGGCCGGCCGAGCAGTGTCGACCATGGTGAGATTTGGGCCCGGGTTACGTGGAGCAGGACAATGTTACTGCCACGGGCCACGGGCGTGCCACCCACCATCGGCATAGCGGCTCTTCGCTTGCGATATTTAAGGGGATCCGAACAGGAGGTTCACAAATCTTCCGTCCTGGTATTGGAAAGGAAGATTCAACAAGCCTGAGTGTCCGAGAACAAGCAACATTAGCAAGAAAGGCCTTAAACACTTGGTTTTTCGGCACAATGAGGTTGGAACTCTCATACTGCCAGCAAATATACCAAGAGGTACTGGTTGAACGATGTCAGAAAAACAATGGTTCTATTGTCACAATATACGTGTCCTTTTCTATTCCGTCAGTTGTTCCCCACAATCACGGATCACCCACAACTCACGCTAATATGAGCGAAGTTTTGACACAATAACCAATGTTTGCATGGCAACACAAACATTGGCTATATCGTCCATCGTTGGGCTAGTACTTTTTGGCCTACAGAAGGCCCACTACGTCAGCACAAGAAATTCGAATTCATGACCAAAACAAGTGGAATGACTCGCGGTGACATCAGAAGAAAGCTTTGGCCAATTCAGAAGTAATGCTGCATTGTTCTCCGCCATATCGTTTATAACATGTCTGATGTGTGGTATGCGTTGAGTCCAGTGTTGGCAGTAAGCGGCTGAAGCAGTTTCTCCCAGCCCGATTTTATCGATTTAAACCGGCTGGAAGAAACAGCGGGTGGCAAGCACTGGCAGAAAACTGGCAGAACCAAGGATGGCAAACGTAAAAAAGTAATCTAATGTGTCCGATGTAGCAGCTCAATGGTGATGCAAATTTCATGTTGATGGGCACTACAATGTTGACATGGCCCCCATGCAAGTAATAGCTGACATGAGACCATGTCAACTACTACTGAAAAGACACATGGGATTGACCACCGTTACATCAACTACGTGCGAAAATTGTTGAAAAGTGAAGAGTCAGTCATTTCACAGTTGGTCCACGACCTGCTACCAGGGGACGTCACTTAAATATTTTGGAGGGCTGCTCTCCCCCCCCCCCCATGCTAATTAAGGCCCCTTCCCCAGAGCAGACTTGAGCTCCCCTCCTCACCCATTGCTCTCATCTGAATCCCCCCCCCCCTCACAAATGCATCTGAGCAAAATAAAGAAACATCATGTCGAGGAAACAATGAAAAATAGGCCCGATCTGTTCGTACATGCACATGAGTGCAACACTTAGAAGAACCACACAATATTCTGCAACACTTTTCACGCTAGCCTTCTACTTCTACGCACGCTAGAGACTACTTCAGGAGCAAAATCTGAAATGCGCCAAAACTGCGATAGGAAGCCCAAACTGAAAGATGCGAAAATTATTTGTCAAATGAGGAATATTGTGGCTTTCAAGTTCTTGTCGGTTGTCGCCCGTTGCAACAGGACAAAACCGGTCAGAACCACAGAGGGGCCGAAAGTAGTTTCAGCCGTCTGAAATGCCAAACGTATATCATTCTATTACGTTTGGCCCTTATATCGTAATCGGTGCCATCACTGTCACGTAACAGTGCAAAGCCATCAGGAAAACACCATGCAGTGATTCATGCGCCGAGTGAAATCAACTCGGCCTGTCAACCCAGACGGCCAGCTCCCGCACGAGCGACGCCCCGCTGGTGACTCACCAACACCAGACGGTCCAGGGTCAGAGACCATGGTCAAAAACAAGGCTGGCACGTGCAACTTTGTCCTCGGCCTGGCCGGACCGGACGGTACAGGTATGAGTGCAGTTTTGTGACAAAACCGGTGGTTTGTCAGACTTTTACATTTAGGCATTGGCAGACACATTGTGGGGGATTAAGAATATCGGCCAGCGTCGAACCTTGAAACCTTTTAATGAGTACAGGATATAGACAAAGCACGTCCCTAAGAAGTGATAGCCGCCCATGTAAGCGTCTGACACTTCAAAAGTTTCACAGACTAAAGTAGTCCATGGGTAAGAATAGGTAATAGGTCGGAAGACGCACCTGAAGTGCATTCATAAGCATACATAAACTATGATCCGAGTGTCATCTATATATATATATATTATATATATTATAATATATATATATATATATTATATCTCTCTCTCTCTCTATATCTATATCTATATCTATATCTATATATAATTATATATATATATATATACCAAAACAGTCCTGGCGGGTGTCATATCACCGCATAATCGAGACGATTATCTCCACGCCCATTATTCGGTTTTTGAGCATGAAATACGCGGTACAAGTTAAATATTCGCGAAAGCTTGAGACACATACTTATTAAACACCGGCCATGTGCAACACAATTGGTGCCAATGAAATACTCGTGCTATGCAAACAGAATCCACACACTCACTTAATGTCCCTATCAGTGAGCGTTGTGTATTGCACGCCTATCAATACTGGCATTCTTAGCTGGTAGCTGATCTTATCGTTGCCATCACTCATGCTTTCCAATCTGTGAACACACCCTGCCGTATAAGGTGACTTGTCCGTGATCTCGTCAAACCTTACTTGTTGTTGCGTCTACTGTATCAGGTTGTAACTACCCCAGCCGTCAATGAAACAGCGATAATACCATTTACAGGCGGCTGCATTGCTTCGTAGTCGTGCGCATCAGTCCTTGCAGCTGATGCCACGCAACTTTGTTTCCAAGCAACGCCGGTTCTTGCCAGCCCGAGACCGCAGCTGACCGGAAGCCAACACAATGCCGAGCACGACCCGCAGGCGAGCGCTCTCCGACTCGATGATCCCGATGGCACGCCCCTGCTCTCCGCATTCGCCGACCGGACGAGCGACGACTGACAAGCTGCGGATGTGTTCCGCCGCACTACACGCGGCCCAAATACCAGAAGATCCACGATCACAAAAACGACCAGCGGAAGACGCTTGAAAGCACTTTAGAAATCTGCAGAGTGCGCGGAGGAAGGGCTGTGTTAAATTGTAGCATACGGCATATTCAGCGAAACCCACCGTCCACAACTTGACGATCTAAGCGTTTTGAATACCCGCGGAGCGTGTTCATTATTCCCCAAAGCCAAGAAACCTGTGGCGGCATCCACGCATCCAACCGCCGGC